CCTATGAAGGGTATTATGAGATTTGGGAAGAAAAGGAAGTTGAGTCTGAGGTTTATTGGCCCTTTTGAGATATTGAGGCGTGTTGGGGAGGTTGCTTATGAGCTTGCCTTAACCCCAACTTGGCAAGAGTTCATCCGGTATTTCATGTCTCAATGCTTCGGAGGTATCACGGTGATCCATCGCACGTGTTGGATTTTAGTTCAGTTCAGTTTGACAAGGATCTATACTATGTTGAAGAGCCAGTGGCAATATTGGATAGGCAGGTTAGAAAGCTGAGGTCAAAGAACGTTGCATCAGTGAAGGTTCAGTAGCGGGGTCAGCCGGTCGAGGAGGCGACTTGGGAAACTGAGCAGGATATGCGCAGCCGTTACCCTCATCTTTTCACTACTTCAGGTATGTCTCTATGCTCGTTCGAGGACGAATGAATGTTTAAGTATAGGAGGATGTGACGACCCGGCCGGTCTTCTTAAGAATTTATGCCCCGATCCCCTATTAACTACTTTCCCCATGTTTATTTCTGCTATTTTGATTTGCCGGGATGTTTGGTTTTGAGTTTCGGAAAGTTTTGGAACACATAGTCCATAAATGAGAGCTTAAGTGTTAGAAAGTTTACCGTAGTCGGAACAATGTAAAGACGACCTCGGAATGGAAATCTGATGGTTCCGTTAGCTCCGTTGGATGATTTAGGGCTTTGGGGCATGTCCGGATTGTGTTTTGGAGGTCCGCAGCTAATTTAGGCTTGAAATGCCGAAAGGTCAAATTTTGAAATTTCCGGTTTGATATTTTGATCCGAGGGTCGGAATGGAATTCCAGAAGTTGGAGTAGCTCCGTAGTGTTGAATGTGACGTGTGTGCAAAATTTCGGGTCATTCGGACGAGGTTTGATAGACTTTTTGATCGAAACCGTATTTTTAGAGTTTTGGGATTTTTAGGCTTGAATTCGTGGTTGATTCATCATTTCGATGTTGTTTTAGGTGTTTTATGGAATGGTATAAGTTTGGACAGTGGTATTAGACTTGTTGGTGCTTTTGGTTGAGGTTCCGGGGACCTCGGGATGATTTCGGATGGTTGTCGGAAGAATTGGAAGTGGTTTGTAGCAGCTGAAGCTACTGATATCTGTCATAACTGTACCTGCAGTTGGGTTCCGTAGGTGCAGAGCCGCAGAAGCGGCGGAGAGATCACAGAAGCGGAATTGGGGAAGTCCAGCAGGAGCCGCAGGTGCGTAAAGGGTATCGCACCTGCGAGACCGCATGTGTGGAGGGTCTACCGCAGAAGCGAAAACTGGTCTTAAGTGAAAGGTCGCAGGTGTGACCACTAATCCGCAAAAGCAGGACCGCAGATGCGGGGTTTAGTTTCAAAAGTTGGAAATTTGATTTGGAGCTCGGGAGAGGGCGATTTTGGGAGGAAATTGAAGAGGATATTATTGGGTAACAATTCTTTAACCCTTTCTAGTTATATTCCATCAATCTATAGTTAGTTTTATCATTTAAATTCGGATTGGAGATGAAAATTGAGGAAAAGTTGGAAGAAAGTTCTTATTCCTAGAATTCGACTTTTGATTGGGAATTTGACCTTAGATTTGGATAATTTTGATATGCATGAACTCGTGAGAGTATGTGGATTTTGAAAATATAGATTTTACCCGATTCCAAGACGTGGGCTTGAGGGGCATTTTGGTCATTTACCAAATTTCGCGTATTAGCTTAGAATTTCTTTGTAGAATCAGTTCTTGAAGTATTATTTACATCATGCAATTGAATTGAATAGATTTGGGCCATTGGGAGTCGAGTACTCGTGGCAAGTGCGTGGTTTCAGGTTGATTATTGAGCCGGTTCGAGGTAAGTGGCTTGTCTAACCTTGTGTGGGGGACCTTTCCCCTAGGATTTGGTATATTTGATATTTGAAATGCCTTGTACGTGAGGTGACGAGTGCGTACTTGAGCTAATTATTGAAAATCCGGTTTTCTTTAAGTAATTTTAATTGTGTTCCTCTTTCATGTCTTATACTACTTGCAAATTTAAGTCTGTTGTTAGCCTAGAAAAGCATGTTTAATTTAATTAATTACTTACTTGCTTAACCTGCCTTAATTGTATTACGTGAAGCATGTTAGGTTAGAATTACATGTTTACTTGGTACAAAATTGAGCTTAAATGAGTATTCCTTGTGTTGTTGCTGCGTGTTTTACTTTAGGACTACGGGACAGCATCCCGGGAGATCCCCTGAACGTATTTATGACTTGAGCTAAGGTGCAGGATACCGAGAGATCCCTAGCACGCATATTGAGGATGCCAAGAAATCCTCGAGATACCAAGAGATCTCTAGCATATATTGAGAATACCGAGAGATCCTCGGGATACCAAGAGATCCCTGGCATATATTGAGGGTACTAAGAGATTCTCAGGATACTGAGAGATCCCCAGTTATTTCCTAGTGATTGTTTTGCCTCTGTTTCAGTTATTGAATTCCTTGTTTTCCTATATTAAATTCTTAATGTTAGCTTTCAACTATACTGCTTATCTTATACTGCCATACCTTATATTTTTATTTTATCTTAGTAGGGCCCTGACCTTCCTCGTCACTACTCGACCGAGGTTAGGCTTGGCACTTACTGAGTACCGCTATGGTGTACTCATGCCCTTTCTGTGCATGTTTTTCATGTGCAGATCCAGGTACTTCGACTCAGACTTACCATCCTTGAGGCAAGGCGACCCTTCAGAGACTTCGAGGTATATCTGCCGCGTCCGCAAACCGAGGAGTCTCTCTCCATTCTCTCATGTAGTTACAACCTTCTGTATTTACCTTGTTTTAGACTATTCTGGAGTTAGAGCACTATGTAGTATCCTTAGCTTGTGATTCATGGGTTTCCGGGTTTTGGGCATATGTATTAGTTTTGAGAGTTAAATATTGTGTATGCCCAACGGCACTTTTAAATGTTGTTTTATTATTCTATTTCTGTTTTAAATTATTTTTCTCTTCTTCCGCAAGTTTGGTTTATTTTCTGCATTTTAGGCTTACCTAGTCGTAGAGACTAGGTGCCGTCACGATGGTTCACGGAGGGCAAACCGGGTCGTGACATTTGACTCAAAAGATATCGAAACCTTTTTGAACAAATCAATCAAAGAAGATGAAGAGGTAAATCTTAGTCAGACATAATAAATTCCAGATCAAAGAGGCAGTATAGNTCTAAAGCTTTCCCTTGCTATATATAGTCGTGGCACCCTTTTCCTTTGCTTAGCCTGACGTCCTCTTGCCTCCAATGTGTCTTAGTCGTGCATTTAGGCGCCACTCTTTCCGACTCGTCGGATGTCGGGAAAGGGGTATAGAGCGGGCTATACTATCTTTCGCTGCCCGGTCACTTAGGCGGGACGTCGTTCAACTCGGTCGTGACGGTCAGATTTTGACCAATACACTAACGGAACCATCAGAAATTCAATCCGAGGTCAAATTCTAAAAAGTCGAAACTTGGTCAAACCTTTCAAATTTAAGGCTTCTAGCTGAGAATCATTCTTCCAAATCAATTCCGAATAACCTGAAAACCAAAATCGATGATTCACATAAGTCCTAATACTTCATACGGAGCTACACCGCTTCATTTTTGTTTCTACGTTGTAACAATATTCATTTTTATCATTTGTGCCACTACAGTCTTTAACACATCATTATCTGGGAGTAAAACTTATTTCCACAACGGTACCTTTTCTCTTATTATTATTGGTTAAAGATTCACCATGGGAGGAAAGAGAAGTGCGTACAGTTTTCGTTGATAGCTAAGTTGATATTTTCCTATGATTTCTCCCTATGGCTAAGGAAAACCTTTATTCTGGATTGAGTTTGTGCTGGTATAATTTTGACTTTTGCACTTTTTCAGATTTTTTAATGAGGTCCAACAACAAATCACGATAAGATATTTCAACTCAATTAACTTATCTAAGTTCCCCTCCCTATGTATGGACTCTTGTATTTTCACTTCCCTGATCTCTGTATTAAGCACAAAAACATGCAGAATTATATCAAACATTTCTGTTTCATGGTTTAGTAAGAAGCTGTAACAATCCTAATTCCAGTTTGGTTCGCTTATAGCTCAGCGTGTCAATTTGTAGGGAGCACTAGAATTTGATTCCTAGTGAAATCACACAATTTATAATTTTCTTATGAATTATGTAATTTCAATGTGGATTATAGACAACGTAAACCATAAAAAACACCAGAGACTAGAATTCTAGTAACATTTCTGCTCCAAAATGTGACTAACAAGTGTATGAGACGAGAACAACCCTCAAGAGAATCAAGGATTAATCAAAAAAAATTGAGGATTTACAATGCGAATTACACAAAATTGCACAATAAATTATGGGACGAGCACCATATGTTCGATCAGCTTGGTGCGGCCGAGGCATACAACTGACACTAAAAGCATAGGTCTCGTAGAACAAGAGCCTAAATGCCCAATAAAGTGTTACGAGTGCCTTGCCCTGGAGCAAGTCCTTATTAGCAGTCCTAATTCTCCCTTTTAAAACATCGCTTAACCACATGAGAGAGTTCACTAGGTACGGACCGAGTCCCTCTCTATTGTAACATTGTGTATGCCACTTTCATATTTCTGCTTCTACGTTGTCAAATACAACAATTTAACACCTTATTATTTGAGCTAGTTTTTAACATATCAATTTTCAGGACTAAAAATTAATGCCGCTATAGAGTAGTTTTCTGTTAATTGTTGAAATTTACAGTCTTTATTTTCAAAACAATTCACCCCTTTTTAATTAAAATTAACTCATGATCAATAGAAGGAAAATGAAAAGCGGTTCTCAAACGCAAGGGAGTTAACATCATTTTCCTGTTTCAACTTTGCTTTAAAAATTAAGTACCTACCTCAACTCTGAATGATATATATATTTCCCTATGTTTATCTCAATTGAACATTTTAAATTTTAAATATCGATTTTACCTTCTAAATTATCAACATTTATCTCTTTAATTATCACGTGAAGTGGTCTCCAGATATTTTTCCTTTGATTCTCCAATGCCCTTTTCCTTTATTCGGGATTGAGCTCTCTAGAAAATTCCTACCTTTTGCACATTTTCATTTTCTTAACGCATTCCAATAACAATCCATGATAAGATATTTTTACTCCATTAACTTATCCCGATTCTCCTTCCAAGAGCGTGGCCTAAAATTCTAGTCCTACTCACATCATGTCATCTCTGTTTGACATGCAACCAAGCACAAGTAATATCTAATCTGCAGATATTTACACACTTTGTATCTTCACTTCCTTGACCTCTATATAAAGCACAAGAAGCAGGCAGAATTGTATCAACCACTTGAACTACAAGATGGAAGACACTTCAAACCTCAATCGCCACCGTCAATCCTTAGAAAAATCCCGCTCCCGAAACGCTGCAGCCATCACTAATAATCGCCGCACAGCCAACAACTCTGTCGTGGAAGAGCAATATAGGGATGACGACTTCAGTATGGAAGAAGAAAGTGACTCTGAGACGTGGAACTCTTTTTCCAACAATTATAGACAAGTGCAGCCAGTGTTGGATCGAAATAGATTGTTGATTCAACAAGTTAACGAGAATCATCAGTCGAGAACGCACGACAGCATGGTGCAGAACGTGGGTCTAATTCAGGAGCTGAACGGCAACATATCAAAGGTGGCTTCTCTCTATTCTGACTTCAATACGGACTTCACAGCCATGGTTCATCAGCGAAAGAACGGCGTTTGAAAGAAGACCAACGACTATAGAGGCTTCTCTAAGATTCTATATATTAACTTCCTTCTCTGTAATAATATATTAACTTCCTTCTCTCCAGCAAATTGGATTAAAAATTCTGGGTTGAAATATCAGGAATAACACTTACACGTATTGTGTCTCCCACGTCATACTTATATGAGACCCTTTAATGTATGACATTTGGACTAGTGGGTCCACTTACAATGTTAAGAAAACACGGTCTAGCAAGTTTTCGGACTGGTCATTCAAAAATAGACAGCGTTTACTAAGTCAATGAAAAATAGCTACTATTTTACTGCAATAGAGACCGGTCCAGCATAATATACGGGAGTTCGGTGCACCTGTATATGAACTTCCAACATATTATGCTGGGCCGGTATACTTTGTTGTCTCCAGTATAATATACTGGAGACTGGAGCACCGGTGCTCCAAACTCCAATATATTATGCTAGACCGGTATATTATACTGGAACTCCAGTATATTATGCTGGAGTATTTTTCCGGATTTTGAACAGTGTTTTCGTTCTGATTTACTTTACATGAAAAGTGGCTAAATTTCGATTACTTTTGAAACTGTAGTTATTTTTGAATGACCACTTGTAAATCTGACTATTTTTGAATTTCTCCCACTTACACTCCCATTTTGGAGCATCGTTCTTCCATTAATTGTCTCTTTCTTCCCTTCCTCTTGTTAGCTCATGTACTGTGTTTACCTTAAAATTCGAGTTAACAATTAAATTTATTTTGTGGTTTTAAAAATATGTGATTCAACCAAATACTAACGGATAAACAAGGAATCAAGTGTATAAAATAAAGAGTGACGTAAATCAAACCAGTGTGTAAGCTAGTCTCGACCTCGGGCTAAAACGACCTCGAGGTAAATAAACAAGACCGCTAAAATAATAATAAGATGATTTAGATGAACAACAAGCAGGAAAGTGATGTATGTATATTCTCTTGTTAATGATTCATTACAAATGATTGGGTCCCCTTTATATAGTAGGGAAATCCTAAATAAGGTACAATTCTAATTGTAGGAGGGAATCTTATTATACAACTGTCTAAGCGCCTAGTACAAATCCGTTCCGAAATTTACGCCGTGAACTTAGGGCCGCTGCGGGAATCTCGCTCTTTCTGTTATGAAACCATAACGGTATTATCTCGAGGTCGGTCATACTTAGTCTCGGTGTTCATCGAGCACTTCGATCTTCGAGTCTTTTACTCCGCCCTCGGGCTTGAGCCTGGTCCATTTCGAACTTGTTCTCGAAGTGACCCTCGAGAATACGAAATCGGTCATACCTGATTTTGACCGTATATAGATAGTCCCCGCATTTCTTAGAGTAAGATGATAAGAAACAATCTGATCCTCGATCCTCTGATTCCTCGATCATGATGTCAATCCAGTGGCGTCAGCGACAGAAGTGATTGAAAGGTCGCGTCTGCATAGTTTCCAAGGTAATTAATTGAAGGTGGCTGATGGTCCGTCATTGGCTTCCCCAAACCGTTGAAGCGACCACTATAAATAGGTCACTTTCACAACCTTTACAATCTTTACTTCTCAAACATTTCCCAAATCCTCACTAGTTTCTTCATCTTCTCTGGGTCCATCCTCTCTTCAACTTGCGCTTGTTATAACATCAACTTCTTCTCTTCTTCTGAGTTTCTCAACGGCGATGGCTAAAACATCTAAAACTATTCCTCAAAAAGAAAAAGCCTCCTCATCATTGCGGTCGTCCAGTGGTAGAATGACGGTGCCCCCTCGTATCGAGGAGTGCATTCCTGGGCCATGCGAGCTATCTTCCGATTTCAAAATCGATAAGCCTGCATCAGTTCCAAGCCGATGCGAGCCCATGTCTCGATACATCTGCTCAATAACTGAAGACGATCTTTAGCAGGTAAAAAAGTATTGTAATTGGGAGGATAATGAGGTGGTGATTCCTTCCCTCGAAGAGGACATCACCACTCATGTGGAGGGATACTTAAGCATGTATGCTTATCTTTTCACACTAGATCCCGTAGATACAGTACTCGGTCCTGTAGATCCAGTAATTCCCTATTTCCGTCACCAATATCGGGTGACCCTTGGCCAAATCTACCCTTTTTTCCGGTGCATCATCAATTTGCTCAGGTATTTCTCAGGCAAGGTCAAAGGGATGTCTTTTACCATCGACCCCCTGATTAGGCTATACAACCCTCTCCTCTATCGAGGTGGTTTGATAAAGCTCCAGTGTTGATACTCGAAGGAGCTATTCTCTAGCACCGATGAGGACAAGGACCGAGGATAGATGGGTCGATTTGTCCGAATCAAGACCTCCGACTCTATTCTTGCCGAAAGGATTCCATTCCCCGAGGAATTGAACATGAAACGTAAGTACAACCCAATTGATGATGCTTACTACTCTGCTTTCTCTATTTCTTTTTCGATCTAATTCCTTTTCGATGATGCAGCTTCCCCTTGGTTTCCTGGTGCGATTCGGGATCTCGCAGGTTGGGTTCGACAACTGGCCTCCACTTCTTCTCATGCAGAAGCTAAAAACCATGGTGAGTTCCCTTGTTCATATGTTGACATTTCTCAGTAAAACACTTACTTTCCCCTTACGCAGGCCTCAGAGACATTGTCGTTATGAGGTCACCTCCGCCCGGAGAAGAGGAAATTCTAAAGCCAATAAAAGAGAAGAAAAGGAAAAGGGCTTTGCCAACAAGTTCCCCGACGCCCAAGAAAAATAAGTCTCAAAAGCCTAGGGCCGATCCTGCAGCCTTATCTGTAGATGCGGTCCAACAACTTCGGGATAAAGAGGAAGAAGGAGAGGATGGCGACTGTTTGCTGGTAGCTCGGAAGAGGGGGAGCACTGAAGCTTTGAAGGCTACCGAACCGGTAATGGCTGATGCGGTTCAATCCCAAACCGAAGAAATCTCGGAGGGGAGCTCGAGCAGATTCCCCGAGCCATCGGGTGGTAAAAGCGCACCCCGTCTTGGAGGACATTTGGCGGGTGAGCCCGAAGAGCCTAATTACTAGGCCCTCCAAAGAGAAGAGAATGTCCCAAGTGAATCACTTGGGATAATTAACATAGATGAATCGCCGCTTGGCCTTGTGTTCTCCGACAGGCAGTTCCAAGATGCCCAGGCCATGAAGACTTCTGACGTGGGGATGACCCACAAAGGGAATGATATTTTTCGGGAATGCTTGTGGCGGTCGAAGATGGTCCCGACTCGGATGCTTCATTTACTTTTGACGAGGCTCAACGTCTTCTTAAACAAGTAAGTTTCTGCTTCCATAATTATGCTCGTGCTTTATTCTCGTTTTTCTGAGTCTGACTTCTTTTGTTTGTGTGAAGGCTATGACTCTCCATCGACAAGCATTCTCCAAGTCTCGAGCCGAGCTTTCCTAATGCGAGGCCAAAATCAAGAAGCTTGTGGAAGAGAGGGATGACCTCAAACTCATCTACGTTCAAAAAGAGGAGGAGATCATGGACCTATAAGCCGACTTGATGAAAGCTCATCGAGAACAGACCGAGCTCATTGAGCAGGTAATGCAACTTTTTGGGAGTTTGTTATGTGTTTATCTGACTTAGCGACTAACACTTCGACTTTGCAGGCCCTGCAGAAGGGTGATCTGGTGGAGCAACTTCGAGAGGAGCTCACGGAGAAAGAGGCTGAGACCCTGGGGTGGAAGCATCATATGGATCATCTCGCTTCGGAGAAGGACACGCTTTGGGCCCAGCTGGCTTCGGTCGAATGACAACATCAAAAAGTTAAGGTGGAAAGCTTGGCCCGGAGCCAGAAGATTGAGGATCTCAAAGCTAAGTCGGCCGCCAAACTTGCAAAGGCTAAATCTGAGGTGGAGGCATGTGTGGCATCTAATCGAGCTGACGCCGATGTCACACCTCCTTTTTATACCCCGAAAGGGGTATAGGGGAGTTTTTCCAATTAAAGTGACAATCGAAACGAGATTAATTATCAAATTCAAAGTCACTACTTGGGATAATTTATGGTGCCCCAAGTCATCGGTTTAAAATCCCGAATCGAGGAAGTTTGACTTTGTTATGCAGTCTGCGAAACATAAAAATTCGGGTAAGGAATTATGTTAACCCGGGAGAAGGTGTTAGGCATTCCTGGGTTCAGCGGTTTTAGCACGGTCACTTTGATCATACTTGGCTTAATCAAATTGTCTAATCACTTATTTTTAAACCTATAAGCATCCACCCCTTAGCCGCTTTTAATTTGAAACAAATCATGCGTGCGTGTATTCATTTCGTTTGGAGCGTCAAAAATCATGTCACGCGTACGTATCCACAATTAATCACGCTTTAATAATATTAAGAAAGTTTGGCCGAAATTGTGCGAACGCATACCTCAATTTATTTCTAGGAATGATAATCATGTCACACGAACGTGTACACAATCACAATGATAGAGTAAGTCGCGCCTAAAGAATTCTATCATTTTGTGGAGTATTAATCGTTAATAGATTCGTTTGAATCATGTATTTCTATCATTAAACTCAAATCAACCTCAAGTCCTATTACTATAACAAGCTATAATTTTCAAGGCAACTTCTTTACCACAATATAATTTTAATAATTTAATCTAATCAACTATACTAACAAATTACAATTGCCAAATACATATCCTTATGTTGCTTACTCATTACCTTCACATTTCAATCAACAAACAAAAGAAAAGCATTACGTATTGGCCATGATCACTTTGCCTTAAGAAATCCAAATCCCTATTAAAAAAAACCACAACCCCACTGCTTAGTCATTCTCATTCTCTTAACACAACAATCACCAAGAAAACAAAGTAATTAATCACACCAAGGTGCTGAATAAAACATATTTGGTTGAGCATAATATTTTCAATAACAGACATTAATAATCAAGCAGAACACTCAAACATTACTCGACAAAACAATATCAACAAAAAAAAGCATGCGTAAAGCTTAAAAAAGAGTAGATTAATAGAGGAGAGATAAGAATGAACCTCAAATAAACGAACAGCTGCCTTCAAAATTATTAACAAAAGTTGAACAATGAGTGTCAAACAAATCTGGAAACGATGAAAGACCATCAACCAGACCTTCGAAGTACGAGCGGAACCAACGAGCGGAGACCTCAGACGGCAACTTCGAAATGACCATGATCTCCAGAAAACGCAACTAATTACGAGGGCTATTTTGTGACAGATTGGAGGCTGATTTTCGGTAGTATCTCAGCGGGTATTCAGCT